GAGATGGAGATGGAAGGAAGGAAGGAAGATTGAAGGGGAAAGGAAGGAGATGGAGAAGGAAGGAGATTGAAGGAGGAAGGAAGGAAGGAAGGAAGGAAGGAGAGAGAGAGAGATTGAAGGAGGAAGGAAGGAAGGAGAGAGAGAGAGATTGAAGGGAAAGGGGTGGAGATGGAAGGAAGAAAGGAAGGAAGGAAGGAAAGAAGATTGAAGGGGAAAGGAAGGAAGGAAGATTGAAGGGGAAAGGAATGAAGGAGAGAGATTGAAGGGCAAGGGATGGAGATGGAAGGAAGGAAGGGGAAAGGAAGGAGATGGAGAAGGAAGGAGATTGAAGGGGAAGGAAGGAAGGAAGGAAGGAGAGAGAGATTGAAGGGAAAGGGATGAAGATGGATGGAAGGAAGGAAGATTGAAGGGGAAAGGAAGGAGATGGAGAAGGAAGGAGATTGAAGGGGAAGGAAGGAAGGAAGGAAGGAGAGATTGAAGGGGAAGGGATGGAGATGGAGATGGATGGAAGGAAGATTGAACGGGAAAGGAAGAAAGGAAGGAGAGAGAGAGATTGAAGGGGAAGGGATGGAGATGGAAGGAAGGAAGGAAGGAAGGAAGGAAGGAAGGAAGGAGAGAGATTGAAGGGGAAGGGATGGAGATGGAGATGGAAGGAAGGAAGGAAGATTGAAGGGGAAAGGAAGGAGATTGAGAAGGAAGGAGATTGAGGGGGAAAGGAAGGAAGGAAGGAAGGAGAGATTGAAGGGGAAGGGAAGGAGATGGATGGATGGATGGATGGGTGGAAGGAAGGAAGGAAGGAAGGAAGGATCTTTGGAGAGTCATGTTTTTCCAGATGGTGATGAACTGCAACTCCCAGCATTCCCCACTCTTCCACAGTGCTTTTTAGGGCTGCTGGGGATGGTAGTCCAGTAAGGTCTGGAGACACACACAGATGCCCTTTGACGGCGAGGGAGGCGGGCCGGGTGGCACAGGGGACGCTCCGGCGCCGCAGCTCAGCCAGCAGCAGCAGCAGCGCGTTGCCCGAGCAGGGCGGGAAGAGAGGGGGTGGTGGTGGCAAGTCATGAAAGCAGCGTCCACACGGTCAGGGTGCAAACGCCTTGGACGGTTTGGCTCCCCCACCCCTTTATTTATTGATCTGCCACAAGCTCGTGCAAACAAGCCCCGAGGAGTTCTGAACAAGTGGTCGTTTTTAAAAAAAAAGCTTTCAGCAACGAGGCAGAAAGGGGAACTCGCTCATGGCTCTTTTTTCCCCCTTTCTCAGCGACTGGGAAGGCAGCAGCCAGAGACGCCACTGCACAAAGGGAGGCAGAGAGAGGGGCGAGGGGGAAAACCTCACTCAACTGTCGTCCTTATCAGACCCGGTTCCCTTCTGGTCGACCCCCAAATTATCTTTCCTCTCTTTCTCTTTCTTTCCTCTCTCTTTTCTTTCTCTCTCTTTCCTCTCTCTCTTCTCTCTCCCTCTTTCCTCTCTCTTTCCCTCTTTCCTCTTTTTCTCTTTCCTCTCCCCTTTCTCTCTTTCCTCTCTCTCTTTCTCTTTCTCTTTCCTTTCTCTCTCTTTCTCTCTCTCTTTCTCTGTTTCCTCCCTTTCTCATTCTCTCTTTTTTCTCTCTCTTTCCTCTCTCTTTTCCTCTGTTTCTCTCTCTTTCCTCTCTTTCTCTCTCTCTTTTATGGCAGCATCATCGGGGGTCCCCGCCGCCCCCGTGCTGCCTGGCCTCGTCCTCCGTCCATCGATGGAGCCGCGGTGGGGGCTGGTGCCATGCGGCCCGCCAGCCCCTCCACCAGCCCGGCTGCTCCCCCCCAAGCACCCCTCTTCCTCCCGGCGCCCGCCCGAGCCACCTTGGGGGCAGCAGGAGGAAGGAGAGGAGAAGGGCGAGAAAACTGCCGCCGTCCCAGCCGGAACTCTGCACTGCCCGGCCTCGCCCTCCGCCCATTCGATGGAGCCGCGGTGAGGGCTGGTGCCGCGTGGCCCGCCAGCCCCTCCGCCAGCCCGGCTGCTCCCCCCAGGCACCCCTTTTGCCCCGGCGCCCACCCAAGCCGCCTTGGGGCAGTAGGAGGAAGAAGGGGAGGAGGAAGAGGATGGCAAGGAAGCCACCACCAGCGCTGGGCCCCAGGAGGCAGCTCTCCTCTCCTACCTTTGTTGAATCTCCTTCTTCCTTCCCGGCAGCCTGGACTCCGGCGCGTCTTCCTGGCCAGCGGGTCCAATGGTCCTGCTGGCTGGGGATCGCAGGGGCTGGTCTCCCTTGGGCCGCAGCTTGCGGGAGGGATGGCCTGCTCAGCGGAGCCTCCAGTGGGCCGCTCCCAGCAGGTATCCCGGGGCTTCCCCGGGCGGCTCCAAGGCCACGAGGCCCTGGCCGCGCTTCTCCCAGGGGGTGGGGCACCCAGGCGCAGGGCCAATCAGGAGCCCTGCAGGAAGTAAGTCTGCCTGAGAGAGAGAGAGAAGGGAAGCGAAAGTGCCTCTCTGTCTCTCTCTCTGCAAATGGCGGAGGAGGCCATGCAGAGACGGATGCGGAGCGGTGTCTCGGTTCCTAAGACCATCAGAAATATGTGTTTTCCGATGGTCTTAGGCGACCCCTGTGAAAGGATCGTTCGACCCCCAAAAGGGTCGCGACCCACAGGTTGAGAACCTCTGTTCTATAGTTATCTATCTATATGCATCTCTGTTGTCAGTCATTTCCAAATTTTTCCTCCCCTGAGTTCTCCTGGTTGTGTTTTAAAACAATTTATGTAAACAAAGAACTGATAATTTCTGTTTGCTTGATCTGAAATATATTAATATTTTAGCTATTTTATTCTTTTAGTCTTAAAAATTACTCAGAGAGTTCTATTCAATAATTCTTATTTTGACTTCCGGTTCCGGATCACGGCATGTGCAGCCGTGCGTAGAGACTCCTCTCTTTGCCGGCTGCTTTTCCTCTGCCGGTAGACCCTTAATCGGGTCGAAAAGTCGCCTTTGAGAGGCGACTACCGTTGAGGAGGCCCTCGTCGACTGTGGAAGGGCAGCAGCTCCTTCCGCGGTCCAAGATTGCTCCTTAGGGCCGACGGAGAAAAGATCGGCCAGCAAAATGGCCGATCACTTTGCTGCTGTAACCGAAAATCAGAAGAACATCTAAGTGTAAAGAACCACTGTGGTTGATCCGGGTGAGACTTTTTCCCCCTCTCTTAGCCCTTTTCTCTTTTTTGTTTCCTGTAAAAAGCATTTTTGGAACTATTTCCCTTCTTTGAGAGAGCAGCGTTTGTTAGTGTGGGAAGAGAAGCTTTGAAAATGGAATGAAAATTAATTTTAATTGACTATTTTCTATTTCTATTTACTTTGGGGTCTTGAAAAAAATCCTTATTATTGAATTTTATTACTGGATTTACTTTATATGTGAAGAATATTATTTTTTCCTGATTTTGTCAACGTCATTTTTGTCTGGGAAGAGATTTTATAGTCTACTGAGGACACTTTGTGGAGAAATTTAAAATTGCAACTGGTTTTTGTTTTTTTTTGCTGTTTGATGTTGAGATTGGTTTTGACCTTCAGATCATCATAAAAGGGAAAAAACAGAAATTCAACAGCTGTTAAATTGGTGGGGGTGGACACTGGCTAAATGTTATTAAATACAGCCTCCACTAAAAGATAACAGGCCTATCTACTATTGAAATGGAGAAACCCTATTCACAACTCAACTGTAAACTTATATTGGAAAAAAATCTATGAAGCCACTGAGCAAATATGTCTGCAAATAAAAGAGAGTACTACAGAAATAAAAAAACAGAAACTCTACTTTGAACTTACAAACCGACCTTCAGATTTTATCTGACTATTCTACAGACCAGAAAACAACAGAAGAGGAATTAATCAACATTAAAGAAGATTCTATTTCATTCTATATACAACCTATTCCTGGTGATCAAAAAATGACTGTAACTAAACCATACACAATTTCAAAACTAACAGAAATGGACGTGCAAATACAACTGATTGAGAACTATGACAATTTTGATAACCAACTACTAACCACAAAATTGGACATAATTGAGTGTTTTACTCAGCAGATTCAAATGTTGAGACTTGAACTTTTAAAACAACAAGGGATTATCTACAAAGGAGTCAGGTCCCTAAAACAGAGGAGGGGACTCTCTTTCTTGACTCAAATGATACCACAAGGATTAAAGAGAGATTTATTTGTTGATATAGAGGCTCTGTTATGGAAACCTACTTGGCACAAAAAGAAAGCTAGAATAAGATATAAGAATGTGACCTAAAACTGTATACAATGGGTTTAAAAGGCTTTTTAGACATGGATTGACTCAAGGTTTAAGATTGGTAAAGAAGATGTTAGAGATCCTGATTAAATAAAGATTAATTAAATATGTGAACTTAGTGAGAAGATTTTTTTTTCTGTATTAATATGTTTGTTGTGGATATAACAATTATTCAGACTGGATTTAAATTTTACTGAGTGGGTTAAAAGAGTTTTACATAGATATTGATTGACTGATAGATTATAGATTTAAAATAGAGTAGAAATTGTATTTTTTTGGAGTAATATTCTTGTTTTGAGGAAGGATAGCTATTTTGTAATGGAAGGAGAATAAGAGGGATTTTTGATAAAACAAGAAATGATATTAATAAATGAGTTACTGATTATGTTAAGGAAAAAGGGAAAGGAGAGACACCTGAAGTGTTAATAATATGTTTATCTAAACCAAATTGGAATATGGCAATTGTAAATAGTAAAGCTCAAAACAGGATTTGGATTTATAGAGATGAAGTATTAGTGATGATTGTTTTGATTGATTGAACTTTATTGAAAAATACATTAATTTGAATATATTATATTATTTGAGGGAATAGAGAGGGAGTCTTTAATGATTTAATCTGAGTTACATATGTATGATTTTGCTTTTGGATAATTGATTACCCTGTCACCACGTTGTTTCTCAAGCACCTTGTTGTAACAATAAAAAATCAATAAAACGTGTTTAAAAAAAATAATAATTTTATTTTTACCTAGATGGGCAGAATGGCATCCAGGTTTTCCTTTGAACATAGATGCCAAATCTCATAAGGAATTGCCTCGCAACATCCAATTTGACAGTGAAAAGGGAGTCGACTTTATCTTGAATTACACCAAAGCGTGAGTATAGTAATGACTCTCATATTAGGTTTAGTTTGGTATTGAATCATAGAATCATAGGGCTAGAAGGGACCTCAGAGATCTTCTAGTCCAGTGATGGAGAACCTTTCAGAGACCAGGTGCCCAAACTGCAACCCAAAACCCAGTTATGTATTGTTGGGTGCCGGGTGGCCGTGGCCCATCGGGTGGGTGTGGCCATTTGGGTGGGCGTGGCCCATTGGGTGTGCATGGCTGCGATGGTAACAGCAGACTGGGTGGGACTAAAAAGTTCAATCAATCAATTCCAACTTTGCGAGATCTTTTTTTTCCCTGCGAGAAGTTGAAATTGATTGATTGATTGAACCTTTTTTTTTTGCACACAGCGGCAGAGGCCTAAAGCAAAAAGGGTTTATAAAACCCAGCTGAAGGCCTAGGACTTGGGTGATGGCGCGTGTGCCCACAGAGAGGGCTCTGAGTGCCACCTGTGACACGTGTGCCATAGGTTCGCCACCACGGTTCTAGTCCAATCCTCTGCCCAAGGCAGGGTTCTTTATACCATCCTGGACAAATGGTTTTCCAATCTTTTCTTGAAAACTTTCAGCTATGGAACACCCACAACTCTGGGAGACAAGCTGTTCCACTGATTAATTGTTCTCACTGTCAGGAAACTCCTCCTTATTTCCAGGTTGGATCTCCTTTTGATAAGATTCCACCCATAGCTTCTTGTTGTGCCCTCAGATGCTATGGAGAGTAAATCCACCTCCTCTTCCCTGTAACAGTCCTTCAGGTATTGGAAAACTGCTATTAGGTTTCCACTAAGCCCTCTCTTTACTTTCTTTTGTTTCAGTTTCTGAGAGAGCCCAGTCCTGTAGGATCAGTTCCTTACAGAGTGGCAAACTCCTCCGATTTTGCAACATGTTCTATTCTCAGATCCTATAAAGTTTTTTTTAAAGAAGACTCCATTTTTTTAAGGAGGCTCCGTTTTCTAAAGAGGCTCCAATTGTTTGTGCAGTTTTGGAACCTCCTTAAAAATATAGAGGCTCTTTAAAAAAAACTCTACAGTATTGTGAGAATGTTGCAAAATTGGAGGAGTTTGCCATGAGGCTGGCTCTATAAGGCAGGGCTTTTCAACCAGTGGTATGCGTACCACAAGTGGTACTTTGGCACTTGGCAGATGGTATGCGACCGTCCTAGAGAAGTAGTAGCGGAGGGGGAGAGGAATGAGCTGAAGTGGTGGCAGCACTGCACAAGCCTGAGGGAGAGAGAGCTGGAGCTGCAGGGCTGTCGGGGCATGGCAGAAGTGCCAGGATCAGCACCGGGCTCCAGCTGATTGGTGCTTCGGGGAGCTGGAGGCAGTGGTGGGATTCAGCCGGTTCACACTGGTTCAGAAGAACTGGTAGCTAAATTTACCTGAATTCGGAGAACCGGCTGGCTTCTGGAAGTCCAGTCTAGGCCTCAGAGGCCTCCCAGATCTAGAATGGCCCACTGGAAGTGTGTTGATGCCACTTCTGGAAGTCTGTTCTAAGTATTGGAGGCCTGGAGGAGGCCTCCCATGCCTAGAACGGCCCACCGGAAGTGCATGATGCCACTTCCAGAAGTCCATTCTAGGCATCGGAGGCCCAGGCCTGCATCACATAATAGAACCAGTTGTTCAGGTATTTGAATCCCACCACTGGCTGAAGGTGTACTGAAGAGAAAAGGAAGAGGAGGGGGGAGAGAGGAGAGGATATAAAAGGAGGTTTTGGTGGGAAAGGGCCAGCGAGGGGCTGCCCCGTCCCACTCCCTGGGCACACGAAGAGGAGGTGGTGAGCACCCAGCATCCCTGCTGACCATCTCTGCTGACCACTGAGAAAGGAAAAAGGTAGGAGAAGTGCTTCCCTTTTCCCCAGGACACCAGCACTCGCACACTTACTGCCTTCTCCATGCATAGGCGTGATACGATCAGCGGCACATTGAAAAAAGAAACAAATACTCCCAAAAAAATTGCTTTCATTAGTTTGCAGCCTGCCATCACAGAAGGTCTCTGTTGAGGGCATGGGGCTGCAAGGGGTGACACACACACACACACACACACACACACCACGTGCGTGTGCTCTCACACACTCACACACAAACACGTGTGCGGGTCTGGGAGAGGTGAGCTGAGCCACGCAGAGGCAATGATGGGGAAGCCTCTGCCCACCACTGCCTGTCTGTTGCCACCTCTGCCCCGAGCCTCTGGCAGTTTAAAAAAAAAAGCAGGGGAAGGAAGGAAGGAGTCAGGGAAGGAGGGAGAGAGGGAGGGAACTTGGTTGGAAATGCTCCAGTTTGAAGGAAGGTTGTCGGGGCTGAGCAAAGCCCAGGATCACCACGAACAGCTACAGCTGATCGGCGTTTCTGCAGGGCTATGGGGGCTGGGCAGAAGTCCAGGATCGGCATGCACTTCTGCAGGGTTGCAGGGGCAAGACAGAAGCCCCAAGATGGCATTTCTGGTGCACACGGAAGAGAAAAGGAGGGGGGAGAGAGGAGAGGCTATAAAAGGAGAAGATTTTAGCAGGAGAGGGAGAGAAAAAAGACAATGGGGGAAAGAGAAGGGGACTGCAAAAGAGAGACAGAGAAGCGCAGCCTTGAGAGGAATCAGCTGGAGGTGCATGCAAAAGAAAAAAGGGGGGGGAGAGGAGAGGCTATAAAAGAAGGGAAGAGAAGAGGATATAAAAGAAGGGGAGAGAAGAGAGGACATAAAAGAAGAATGGAAGAGAAAGGATATAAAAGAAGGGAGGAAAGAAGAGAGGATATAAAAAAGGGGAGAGGAGAGGATATAAAAGAAGGGGGAAAGAAGAGGATATAAAATAAGGAGGGGAGAGAAAGGATATAAAAGAAGAGAGGATATAAAAGAAGGGAGAAAAGAGGATATAAGAAGGGGGAAGAGAAGACAGGATATAAAAGAAGGAGAGGAGAGAAAAGATAAAAGAAGGGGGAAAGAGGATATAAGAAGGGGGAAGAGAAGACAGGATATAAAAGAAGGAGAGGAGAGAAAAGATAAAAGAAGGGGGAAAGAGGATATAAAAGGCAGGAGAGAAGAGAGGATATAAAAGAAGGGAAGAGAAGAGGATATAAAAAGGGAAGAGAAGAGAGGATATAAAAGAAAGAGGGGAAAGAAAAGATAAAAGAAGGGGAGAAAGACGATATAAAATGGGGGAGAGAAGAGAGGATATAAAAGAAGGGGGAGACAAGAGAGGATATAAAAGAGGGATGAGAGAAGAGAGGATATAAAAGGAAGAGTGAATCTGGTTTCTCCACTGACTTTGTTTGTCAGAAGATTGCAAAAGGGGATCACATGATCCTGGGACACTGTGACCATCATAAATATGAATCAGTTGCCAAGCATCCAAATGTAGATTGACCCTGGGGATGCTGCAACGGTTATAAGTTTGAAAAATGGTAATAAATCACTTTTTTCAGTGCCGTTGTAACTTTCAACAGTCACTAAGCAAACTGTTGTAAGTCAAGGACTACCTATACTCTTATCACTTTTTTCCATTTTTGGGGGGGGGGTGTCATCAAGTTTTTGACATCTTGCTAGGCAACTGGTGGTACTTTTGCTATATCCTAAAAGTGGTACAATCTGTGAAAAGGTTGAAAGGTCCTGCTGTAAGGAACTAATCCTACAGGGCTGGATGCCTCCCTCAGAAATTGAAACAACAGAAAGGTAACGTTAGGGAATATTTATATTATATTTATATTATATTTATTTATATAAATAAATATATTTACAGTAAATAAGAGAGGCAAACAGGAGCATAGTCAGGTAAATCAACACAGCAGGGACATCGTCAGGCAAATCACATCATACAGGGCACACAGGACAAAAAGGTAGGAAACAAGGAAATTCCCTCTTTACTCTAACATCAACCAATTACAACTCAGATTCCCTCATGCAGTAGCCGGCACTCTATCAATCAGCTATAACTGTGTGTTTTGACTTTTCACACAATGCCCACTGTTCCAGTTATAAATTTAAATATCTTGACAGGTAAGTTGGCTGTTGCTTGGCCCTAGAGCAGGTTTGAGTTCTTGGGTGGGATCTCCCCTTCTATGTTGGAGAATTAAACTCCATCTGCCCCGATCTCCCCTTCCCTGTTGGAGTTTGCAAACTCTGTATACTCTGATCTCCCCTTAATTGCTGGGTAGGAAGGAAGACTGCGAGAAGTGGCACACAGGGAGCCTCAGGGGATGGGTATAGCCTTGGGAGGCCTGGGACAGGCAACCCGCCCTGAGTAGACCTTGACTTCCCCCTGAGGCAACCGGTGCTCTGTTTAACAACTCTCCCATTCATTTAACATTTACATCAGAGAGAGCAAGGAATGGGGTCATTAATTGAGGCTGTTTCAACTAACGATTGTTGTGACATATGACCATAATGGGCAGGCTTCATTACAGAAGTATCTCAAGGACTACCTGTATATAGTACTGCATAGAATACATATAGAACATAATTATAGTATAATCCATTACTGTACATATGTAGTCCATTTTCCCTAGATTGGTTTCCATGATTACAGATGGATATTCCTCTAAATGGGAGGGGGGCAAAGTTCTATATTAGATAGTGTCCTGTATTTAAAACATAGTGGAGAGAACAGCATTTGAGGATCGGGGATTTTAATTCAACTTCCTGCCTAGAATTGAAGACTGAATTTACATTACTTGGAGAGGTTTTTCCTTCCAGATTTCAGAGAGGTTCTATCCCCAAAGCATGCCCATCCTTACATTAAAAATGATCCAAAACATGGGATGAATCTGTGCCATTGACATTTGGCTATTTTTCAGCTGAATTATGCCAGCATATTATTAAGGATGCTAGGTAGGATATATGAGGAAGAGGCAGACTGTTAGTCCCCTAGATGCTAAAGCAAAAAATGGAGATGTCAGTGTTTAAACCATTTTTTTAAAAAAATTACTTCAGCTCAGGTGAAGCATGGCTATAGACCTGTCTAGGACAGATTAAAAAAACGAAGAGCCTATCATTCTCTGGATCCCTGACCTACTCAATTTGAACTTCCCCTGGAATTCTGTAGTACAGATTGATCAGCTTTCTGCCAGATGACATATTGCCTGTAGATAGTTTTCTTCCTGGTGGTATAAGTTAAAGGATTCTGTATAATATATTGCTCACTATATTATTTTGCAGTTTATGTTTAATTCTGTCAATTGAAGTTTCTTCAATTCACTTTATAAAATGAATTAGCACATAAAGTGCTATGAAACATAGCTGTTAATTATTTTTAATTATCTCTTGCAATTTATATTGTTTAATGATACATATATCATTAATGTGCAATTTTTTTACATATTTTAGGAATTGTACATAATATTATTCTGTTTTATAAGACATATATAGGAAGAAGGCATCTTTATCTGGACTACCTATCAATAATTAGAAATCACCAAATATTTAGCAAGTATCGGTTGTAGAGGCACTCCACAATTTGGAAAATAATTTATTTAGTTCAGAGATGTGGCTTATAGTGCTGCTTATAACCCATAATTTCATGTTAGCTCAGCCTTAGTTTAATTTCTGCAACTCTGCAACCAAACAGTTCAGATGTCTGGGAAAAGTTGTTTCCCCTTTCACTCCATACTTCTTAAGAGAAGTATGAAACATCAGAAACAAAATGAGAAAAAAAGAGAGGATGAGAAAGAATTACTTATATCATTTAAGTATGACTCAGCAGTGTGGTGCAGCTGCCAAAAACGTCTATGCAGTCCTAGGCTGCATCAACAGACAACATCAAGATCACGAGAAGTGATAGTACCACTCTATACTACACTAGTAAGGCTACACTAGGAATATTGCAACCAGTTCTGGTCATCACAATACAAAAAAGATGCTTAGGCCCTAGAAAGAATGCAGAGAAGAGCAACTAAGATGATAAGGTATCTGGAGGCTAAATCATACAACTGAGGGAAGGACAAGAAGTAATAGGTGGAAACTCGTCAGAGGGAGATCCAACCTAGAACTAAGAAGGAATTTTCTGACAATGAGAACGATAAATCAGTGAAATAGCTTGCCTCCTCGAATTTAATTTAATTTAATTTAATTTAATAATTTAATTTATATACCGCCCTTCTCCCGTAGGACTCAGGGCGGTGCACAGCATATTAAAACAGACAAACAAAATACATCAAAGAACAGAAAAAAAACCCATAAAACCAAATTAAAAGCCAAATATTCGAAGCTGTGTGTCAATTAAAATTTTCTTAAAATCATCCCTACCTAAAATCCTCCCTAGGTCAGGCCCGCTTGCTGGAAAAGCCATGTCTTGAGGGCGCGGCGGAAAGTAAGGAGATCCGGAATCATCCGGATCTCGGGGGGTAGTTCGTTCCAGAGGGTGGGGGCACCCACAGAGAAGGCCCTCCCCCTGGGGGTCGCCAGCCTACACTGCTTGGCCGACGGCACCCTGAGGAGGCCCGCTCTGTGGGAGCGTACCGGTCTATGGGAGGGAATCTGTGGCAGAAGGCGGTCTCGGAGGTAGCCAGGTCCAATGTGGGTGCTCCATCGCTGGAGGTTTTCAAGAAAAGATTGGACAATTGTCATCCAGGATGGTATAAGGACTCCTTCTGTGGGCAGGGGTTTGGACTAGAAGACCTCTAAGTTTGCTTCCAGTCCTATGATTCTATGATACTTCTGCTTCTGACCTTATTTATTCTTTGCTTCAGCTCTACCAAACATGTTGCTCCTAAGATTGTACCAAAATGGAATGCAATTCTTGTTGGGGGAATATTTTTTTACTTAATTAATTTAAAACATTTATATAGCTGTCCATCTTATAACCAATTCTAGATGGCTCCTATCCTTGATTTAAATCCAAGGCTCCTTGTTTGGTTTAGTTCCAGAAGAGGAAAGGAGCCCCTGCTGATTTTACTCTGCTAGTCATAACCTACTATAGGAGGCAGCACTCATCTCCATTTCAAGGATCATTGAGGCAATGCTGTCCAAAAATATTTCCATGATCATGTGGTCAGCATGGCATCACAGAGTGCTGTTTCCTCCCTATCAAAGTGATACCTATTTATCTACTCAAATTTGCATGCTTTCGAACTGCTAGGTGAGCAGGATCTAGGCGAAGATAGCTTATCCCTCACACAATGCTCTGTTCTTGAACCAAGGCTGTTGGCTTTCCAACCAACAAGTCCAGTTTCCTAACTGCTGAGTCATTGCTCTGCTCTGAAGTTCCAGACCTGAAGAAAAATTCATGATTCCTATTGACTAGTACTGGAAATCACAAATGGCTTTAACATCAGCATGAAAATTTTAGGTTAAACAGAAATTTAAAAAAAGCCAAAGGTTGCCTGGTTTATTTAGATTTTGAAGTTTTTACATTCTAATAATTGACTAGGACAAAATTAGATGAAATTTGCAAGCAAAAATCACACCTGTGAGGATAACTCTACAACATTTCAAATAAGATGAGGCATTCATGCAAGATGATCCTTACAAATTGGAGAGGATTCATTCACCCTTCCTCTTTTTTGCTGGTAATATTTGTGAAAACTATAGAAGTTGTAATATAAAATATCTTTGCTTGCAAAAAGTTTCCTGTACCTTTTGGAAAACATGCTTTCTTTCCAAAATGGGCAGGAGGATAACAACACATCTTGCTTTATATCTCTACTATGAGAATAGTTAGTAAACTAAGTATCAGAAGATTATATTATATCTAGGAGTGGGCCGACAACATGAAACAGTTATAAAGCACTGAATTCAAGGAAAAGATAGGAATTTTTAGAATTATATAGCATTCCTTCAGTTATCAACCATGACTAGCAGCAGGACAGACCCATATGCAACGATTTTTGTACACCTGAGTGTGGTATAATAAACAGCTCTACTGTATATGATTTAAAGTAGGACAGGTGTTCAATCTCCATATGTTAAAAAAAACAAATACTTTACTAAAGGTGCATTCTGATGTGACTAGATTCTCATTTCCAAGAATTACAAGCTGGAGCAAAACGATATATAAAAAAATAAAAAATTGTGTGAGACATGGAAGAAAGTCATGTTATAACTATAACCATTAAGTATGCTGTTTTTGGGGTTTTAGAATGGAAAATCTCTATATCAATCGTTTCATGCATATGTTCCAATCCTCCTGGAGTGACTTCGCCGATTTTGAGAAGATCTTTGTCAAAATAAGTAATACAATCTCTGGTGAGTTTTGATAATTGTTGATAACTTGCATGAAAAATGAGTTATACATATTTCAGATTTTAAGACACTGGCATAATAAAATCAGTCCCAAATCTGATGCCTACAGATCTGATAAACAAATTTCTCAATTTTTTTTAGTTTAATACTTCAAATCACAGAGAAGCACAATTAAAAAACAATTGTAATTTATAGAATTTATGTTTTATTTCTAAATTTGATTATTTCCAAACTTCTTATGTCTGAGGGCAGTTATAGAGTCTTATGTGAATGTTATGGATGCATTTCATAAAGTCCATGGATATGGGAATTCACAAAATAGTTTCATGTGGATATGCCTATTGGCAAAGTAATCATAACATTGGCAAAGTAATCATAACATATAAAAGGGCAGACAAATGCCTATAATGATATGCACATTACAAATGACTTTAATATAAAACAGAATAAAAATACAGGATCCTCCAGCCTACCAAACTGAAATATATAAATAAAGTATTCACCAAGCCCATATTGAAATAGTTCTAGTATGAGCAAGCCACATATCTTGCTACAGTCTGTACAACATTTGTTTGTTTGTTTATTATTTAAAGTCCTGGATGAATTTTAGAATTATTTCATTCTCATCACATATCAAAATCAGGAATATCTATAACATAGCTACATAAACACAGTTTAGTTTTATGCCAGGCATTGATAATAATCATATTTATGTCGTCCATGATTTGTTCATTTGTTATTTTTGACATATCAAACCAAGCCATCAGATTCTAACTTGGTCATTGATCTTACACTTTGAGTAGGAATGGGTTTTCCACTTGTTGGTGGTTCTATTGTGTATTATTTTACACAATATTTAAATTAATCCACTAAAGTAAAAAAGTTCAATTTCATTTTTGTAATTCATTTTCACACAATTTTAACCAATGAAATGAACAAAACACATTTCTGCAGAATATAACAATTGACACATATTGATATATCATAAACTTAAGGAATTGATGTATCTTTATTTATTTTATCAGAGAATAAATTACAAAACAATAAAACAAGCAAAATGAAAGAAAACAAAAGCATACATTCAACCCTAACAACAAGAAAAAAGGAAAAAAAATAGTGTAGTGGTCAATTAGATTTAACATTTAATATGTAGGATCCATCCTGGTTGGGTTATGAGAGAAAAAAGAAAGCAGTAAATTATTTAAGCTAAACATTACACTAATCTTCAAATCCCTCTGTTAACCATCTGTTATATTTAGCACATAGAAAATCTACAAACGGTTTCTAGTCTCTTATAAAGCTGTCTAATCCGTTATCTCTAATCAAAGCAGTTAATTTTGCCATTTCCGCTAGTTCAGTCAATTTCAAAATCCGTTCTTCAACAGTCGGCATTTCTTTTTCTTTCCAGTGTTTGGCAAGTACAATCCTCACAGCCATCACCATGTGAAGGAATAGCATCCCAAATTGTTTTTCAATTGGTACAATGATACCTAAAAGAAAAGCTTCAGGTTTCATTAATATTTGTATCTTAAACATTTTTGCATTGTCATTGTTATGTTTATCCAATATGTTTTCAAGTATTTGCAAAACCACCACATATGATAAAATGAACCTGGATTTTGATTACATTTCCAGCACTTATTAGAAATCCCTTTATATATTTTCATTAGTCTATCTTGGGTCAGGTATCAACAGTGCATCATTTTGTAAGAGTTTTCTTTCAAACTATAATTTAATGTGAATTTTAATCTCTGTCCATACATTCTCCCATTTATCTAGCATTATACCCCCCCAAAATTGCCCATTTTAACATACATTCTTTAACGTATTCATCTTCTAGATTCATCTTGGGTAGCATTTTACATCCTTTAGAACAGAGGTCCCCAACCTTTTGGGCAACAGGGACCGGTTCCATGGAGAGAGGTTTTTCCGCAGACTGGAGGGGGCGTGGTTTCATGTACTGCCTGCATCCCACGGATGGAGCTTTGCTTCTTTGTGCGGCCTGGTTGCTGGCATGCCTCAGCCCAGTACTGGTCCACAGACTGGGGGTTGGAGACCCGTGCTTTAGAAATCAAGATGTCATCTCCAAAACATAAGTTAACGTCCAATTCAGATTTAGTTCCTGTGAAAATAAAGCTTTTTTTTATCAAATTTAAAACTTTCAAAAAATTTATAATAATTAAACCAATCACAATCAAATTCTTCACTTACTAGTTGTTCGCTTGTCCGGAAAAATGTGGATTAGAGGAAAACATGATAAGAGGAAACCTAGAAGATTAGTTACTAGAAGCAACCAGAAAGAACTAAACATTATAATTGAAGAAGACCCACTAATTAGAATGGAGAAAATTATTTAAACTTTTGAGAATTCAAGAATATTTGATATTAATGGTAACAATGTACTCAGAGTTGTCATTTAAGATTGTTGGTTATAATGAAAATGAATTTAAAAAGTAGAGAAGAGGATACACTTAAGAAGCAGACTGTTCTGGGTATGGTTTTTAAATTGTCAGGATAAAAGAATGATATTGACAAAGGATTTGTCAATTTTATAAAGGATTTGCAAATAAAACTGGTTGATGTTTTAATAGCTAAAAGGGACAAACAAATGATAAACCAAAAGTGACTTGAATGTGTGCATTTCAACTCAGAAGAGTGATCTGGACAACTTTCCTATTTTGGATTTACAAAACAGATATGTTATACCCAGTGCTTTTTTTTTGTAAAAAAAAAAAAAAAGGTGCCGGAATTCACACACGTCATACAACCTCCTTGCCTACCCTACAAGGTTCCATCCAAAAAAAGTGCCGGAACTCCATTCTGGGCGTTCTATGATAAAAAAAGCCCTGGTTATACCTATGAAGGAGTTCCTGAGAAAAGCTAGAGAATAGAATAGAATAGAATAGAATAGAATAGAATAGAATAGAATAGAA